TCCTGAAAAGACATAATACGAGCACGAAATCTAGCTTCTAAATCAATTGTAGAATTGAGAATTGCTGCACAGGAAGAATAGAATCGAATTCACAAGAAACCATCAAAAGCCTTTTGCGGAGTATGTCCAGGAGGATGCAAGCTATCATTAGAGCTAGGGAAGGAAAAAACACTAAGTACTTAACTATTATTATTTTATCTGGATTATTTGGCAATCAATATACGTTAAATACTTCAGCAAATACCATTTAGTAATGAAAACTGCATAAAGATTCAGACAAAACTGTGGTGGAATACAGCTTTTGGATGACACTAAAAACCATCCTGTATGCAAGTTTAGTTTATTCCGTAGACATTGCTTCTTCTTTTAATCACGATTCGTCGGATAACTCATTGCATTTTCTTTACGTATTCCTCATGCAACGATCAAGATGTCGCAAAAGACCACCTACGAACAAAATAAACTTTTTTGCGCACAGAAAAGAATGGAATAACATCCCTCAGGAATGACAATTTGTGGAATGCCTCGGAGAATGGAAGCTATTTTCCAAACAAGTGGAATCAACATCCGATATAGGAAAGTGAGTTTATTGTTTTCCTTTCCGAACATTCGCTACTTATGTTACCGTTTAATTGTTAATTTTTCCATAATGATTGTTGAAAATTGAAGAGAACCCAGAGGAAACGCAATGCTTTATTCAGTAATTCATGAACTTGAAACGAGTCGAGATATCAAAATGGATGAAAAAATAATGTTTTTCAACTGTTTTCAACTGTTTATCGTGTTTATTTTGTTGGTGACAGGCATAAAAGTTAGAAGGATTTTCCGTGTTCGGCGATTTTCTGCTATCGACAAAAACCGGATCAAATAATTTGTATCAAATTAAATTGAGTGATCAAAAACACTTGAAATGTTCAGTGTCAGTGTTTTTCGAGTTTGAAAGCCGTGGATTTTTGGAATTTCTTCCTGACGTTTCGCTAGCGCGTGTGGCTAGCTTCTTCAGAGGTTTAACCATCATGGTTTGCTGATCCATGACTAACTTTTAGGCTTCATAAAGCGTATTCTTTCTTGTTAGGTAATCAGTTGTATTGGTACCTGTATTTGTACCTGTATTTGTACCTGTACTTGTACCTGCACTTGTACCTGTACTTGAACCTGGAACATCAACAATATTGCTGCCTGTTGTCATTCTGTTCGTTATTATCGAATTCCTTAAAATGGGGTTCCATATTCGATTGGATTGAGGTTCACCGCTTCCTCTATTCTCTTGAAATTCTCCGTGTGTTTGTGGATCTCTATTGCCTCCCGTACAAGTCGGCTATAGTATCCCTGGTTGGGGGCAATTAGTTCTGTGTTTTCAAACAAAATTATGTGGCCTCCTTCACTAAGCGCGTGTTCTGCCACAGCTGACTTGTCCGCTTGGCCTAGTCTGCAGTTCCTTTTATGCTCTTTCAGTCTTGTCCACATGGATCGTTTGGTGGATTCGATATACACCTTCCCACAAGTGCATGGTATGCGATAGACCCCTGTTGCTGATAATGGGTCTCTTTTGTCTTTAGCCGACCTGAGGCTTTGTTGTATCTCCTCGTGGGTTTGAAGACTGTTTCGATGTCGTGTTTATCCAATAGTTGTCCAATTATGTCCACGTAACCCTAGGGATAAACGGTAGATATGCGCGTGCAACCATCTGATCCATTTCCTCCTCTTTTTTAACCGTGGTGCTCTTCGGTTTCATGGCTTTCCTGATCTCGGAGGCACTGTATCCATTCGTACACAAGGTCACTTCAAGGTATTTCAGCAGGACCAATGGATAGCTTTCCCAGATGTACCAGTAGAACGATGTGGTACCAGACTAACCCACAAAGTGTATCGAAAACCCACTCACACAGATAGATACTTGCACCATCCTAGCCAAAAGAGAGGAGTCATCTCTACTCTAACGGAACGGGCTCTGAGAATATGTGAACCAGAACATCTGGAGAAAGAACTGGTGCCACTGGGTCCTGAACTTCTTAGTCCAGCCGCTTCCTTGACTAAAAAATCGACGATGCGATTACCTTCGCTTCTGTCGTGCCCTTTAGTCCACCTCAGGATAATGTTAGTATCTACTGAGGCTTCGGCTAAATCTTGGTGGCATTCTAGTACTAGCACATACTCACTCGTCATTGCTTCTACGAAATTTTTTATCCAAAAACATCTCTGTAATCATGCCTTAGTCACCGTATTCACCAAATGTGTTCCCTGCGACTTTTCTCTTGTTCCCAAGATTTTCGAGACCCATGAAAGGACGTCGTTTTGGGACGATTAACGGGATAAAAACCAAATCGCTGAGAGAGCTCAAAAACATACCATAAAGATGCATATCAGAACTACTTCGAGTATTGGAAAAAATGCTTGCACAAGTGTATTTTTTCTAAGGGGAACTATTTTGGAGGGGACACACTGAAAATTATTATTATTGGAGTTTTTTCCCAACAGCAAACCGTTATTTTAACGCCTCGACACGTGTTTCGAAGATCTTCCTCTTGAAGATGATCACTTGGTGATCGAAACACGTATCGAAGTGTTAAAATAACGGCTTGGTACTGGGAAAAAAACTCCAGTAGTATACTTTACTACACTAACTGTTCCAAAATTGCATCACAATTACACTGGAAATTTATGAATAAATAAATAGTTTTTGGGAAAAATTAAAATTCACCTTGTTTTTTGAGATACCTCACATAAATCGAGCCTCATCAAAGAATTTGTTTGATGTGAATTAATCTGGGAAGAAAATCGGGCTCAAAATAAAAAAATCCTTTGAGATAGCCTCTTTTTAGAACCTGAATGTACTAAAGCAGATATTCTACAAGTTATCTATACATCACATCCTACTCAGGTTCACTGCTAGGGCAATGAAAACAAAATAATTTTTATTTAGCCAACAAAGCATTCTCCTCACCCTGTATAATGTCTGCAACATTTTTCTATTCACACTACACTAGTTTACCCATCATCATCATTTTCGAAGTTATTGTCAACTGAGAGCAGTTATGAATTCAAGTTTTTCAAAACCTTCAGACATGCAGTGAATTGAATGTTTTACTGTCATACGTACCCGAGTTTACTCAACTATAACAACATTTAATGCAAATCGCTTTCCAGCGTATGGGACGGATTTTATTGTTTCCTCTCGTCCACCAGTGCACAGTTATTTGTTCAAGTTAATTGAAACGAAAATGAGAGATCCACCACAGAATTACGAATAATTCTTCGGGGCGCACCTTCGGCCCCGTACAGAGCTAATATTTATTTAAGCGAATGACAAAACAGCGCTCGTGCTGCTTTATAAGAACGCTTTTTGTTCAGGAACTGTATAAAAAGGGGTTTTGTACTATAAAGGGTGTCCTGGACAATAGATTTGAATTTGATGAATTGGTATCCTAGGACTTTTCAGATACACTCATCGGAGATTCGAAATGATATTATGGAAAGTAATGCCACAAGCCCTCAAAATTATTTCTCGACAAATTTCCATTTTTTAACGGAAACCCAGTGAGTACTTATTCAGTTTAATCGATGAATATCTGAACCACGAATTCAACCACCATCAATCGACTAAGAGAAGAATCATCAAGACTCTATTAGATCGTGCTTTCGGGCTCTGTAATACTAGGGAAGGTCTGCTCCAAAGCCATGGCCGAACTGACTGAACTGAACAACCAGTACTTGTACTACCCTACATCAGAGAATTGTCGGAAAGGATACGAAGAATTGGGTCCAAGTTCAACATCAGAACCTGCTTCAGATCCAGGAATACTATCCGTAGCAGCCTCTCGAAAACCAGGCCACCAAACGCGGACTGCGATTCCAAGAATTGCATTTACCGGATACCTTGTGGAGTGCGAAAAATCCGTGGTGGAACTAAGAGGCCATTGAACGTTCGCATTGCCGAGCACAAGAAACACACAGCGAGGGGAAACCAGCAAATCAGGAATAGCAGAGCATGTNTTTTTCGGCTAATCTTTTTAATTTTTATAGCTTCTTTAAGGAATTTCAAATCAATGTATATCAATGGAAGACCCAACTGTTGAAATTCAAATCGTATCTGCGTAAAGTTTGGGTCTGTGTATGACAAAGAAAGTATTAGGAAAAAAAGAATAGACACTTTTGTTTGCTATTCTACGTAGTACGGATTAAGGGGTAAACAATAAATGGATATTAAAATGCCATTTGGGTTCTTGTAGATATATAAAAGCAAAGCTCACCGGCAGCTGTATGTATGAAACGTGTATGCATGATTACTGAATATTATAATATGACCTCACCAGGTGGTGTTGTGGTTTTCGTTTTCACAGAATGCAAGCTTTTTCCTTCAACAATATGAGTGTGAATTTTGCAAGTGTAAATTGCTTGATTTTTAATGGTACAAAATTATGATTACTAAAAGTTCAAAACGTTGCTTTTTTTCCTCAATGAAATTCGATCAACTGACTCAACGATGAGAAACACCTCTAACCCATAAATCATTCCGCGCGATGAACAGAAGCAACTCGACGGACATCCGCATGCCGCTTTGTGTAATTTACAAACAGCTTCTCAAGATAATTATCTACCACGATCTGCGTCGTTGCTAAGTAGGAAAGTCGAGCTATTAGAATGGCAATGCAGGGGAACGTAGGGTGAACAGCGAGATGAAATGATCCACCAGGAAAACGCTTGTGGCTTTCCCAGACCGTAAATGGACAGTTGAAGAAAATTCCTGATTGCTTTGACATACAAATGAGTTCACTGGGTTATCAATCATGACGACCATAAGGGCAATGGAAATGATGAAAATTTAGTCTCAGTGGTAAGTCTCAAAATGTTCGATAACGTTGAAAATTGTATGTTGATCTTGACCTGGGGTTTGATAAGCATGTAAATTATTTATTGAAAACAAATCGCGGGTAGCAGAGCATGAGATCGTCCACAGGGAGGAACGCTGGTTCAAAAGAAAGTTGAAAGAAGTCGCATATATGTTGTGCAACGGCGCATTTAGACAAGCTAGCGTAGAAATACTCAACATATGGAAACATGTAATCAAGCAGAAATCNTCCTCGTTGGAAACTCTAACGAAGTAAGTCTGTCTTCAACGCGTCATTTCAATAAAAGTGTAACATTTTACTCTCCACAATTAACTGAAAAATCTATGAGCTAGACTCATAGTTGCTTTGGAGAAAATGATCGGCGTCCAAAAATAACATTTTTCAAAAACGTATGTGATCTCCCGTTTGTCTGTTCATTTGTCTATCTGTCTGTCGTGTGAAAACGTTTGTCTTTCAATTACTTTCGGACAGAAAGATGTCAATTTGAAAGTTTTATCATCATATTATATAATTGATATTTTAGCTATTCATTCTAATTTTGCACATGCCATCCAGATTTTCAGAAGCATCACAGCTTCTGCTAACGAATTGGGGAAAACTTTGCAGTACCCCAATTACGGTAAATGTGCATTTTGTGCATTTAGAAACTTGAGTTTCTAACAAACTGACAATACCACACAGTCCTCTACGGCTCTGAGAAATGATTGATTCTCTACAGCCCCCTACGACTCTAAAGATTGTTTCTCCACAGCTCCTTACGAATGTGAGGAATATATTTGTGGGGTCCAATGATTTTATTGGACATCACAGGACAAATTTCGGTGTATCCTTTCCAAAGCTCTGGTCTATCAGATATATTCATCACAGTCGTAGGGGGCTGTTGAGAAACATTCTAATTTTATTGTTTCTTCCATAGATTTCAAATCATATTAGAATCATATCAGGCAATGGAAATCCGAACTAGTAAAATTCACCATGAAACATTGTCACTTACAAAAAAGTAATTTTAATAAACCACCGAGGCGGTAACCTGATGAGCTGATGTGGGTGATTTGTTTCACTCACTCAATTCCCCGCTCTGTGAACCACGAGGTCAGATGATCGATTTCAAATTTCTATCATCCAACCCGTATTAGGAATCACACGTTAAAAGGCAAGACCCCGTTAGTCCTTAGCTCGCACAAGTTTCAGCGTCAGCTGGTTAACGGAAAAACATATTTCAACAGATTTTTTAAGGACAAAACACAAACGCTACAGAAAAATCTTTAAGGTGTTCTTAGATCGGTGCCTGTGCGAAAGTACCGATTCACATTGAATTTGAATCGCTGGAGATTAAATCCATTTGGAAAAACGTTCTCAGGAAGTTCTCCAGATGAAAAAGTTCTTAAACAGTGAACTTCGAGGTATACTGAGTTGAAACTCAAAACGATGAGCAGCCACAGTCCGTTGAGCATTTCTGATATGTGCCACTCTTAGTGCAATCAAATGTGCCAAGTCACTTCAACACTTCCCGTGAAAGTATCTATAGAAGAGAGACAAATCTCAAACCTTTCTTCGATGTTCCAGACTATCAAGATTGCACGTGATGTTCCCGTCTCCAATCAGGCAGATCGCTCTTTTCTGTTTGGGGGCAGATCTCCATACATGAAAGTCTGATCTGAACTCTATAAAGCATCAAAAGTTGCTGAGGTGTGTAGAGTTTTCTGATTCGGAACAGTGTTCCAAGTTTTTGACAAGAGCTTTACCAACATTCTTTTCGTACTGGACTCAGGATAGAATATTGTGGTATACCAACAGATACTCCAAGTACCTAATGAAGACTTAACGTTTTATCAAAAATTTCTTTTCGTTCATGATGAGGCAAACATACCTACTGTTTTCTATTGAAGAGAAATTATTTTTTTAACTGAAGGTAGCATGGGTTTTCAATTCTATAATTGGCTACTCGAGGTAACAAAAGGCACAATAATAATAAATATAATTTATGTTGAAAATATATGTGGAGCATTAACAAAACATAATGAGAAAACACGTTACCGTTGATCGTGAAGTTATTTCCCAATTCATGGAGTTATTTAAATATGACATAGATAAAATTTTGCATTGAATGAAATTAAAACAAAGCATGTGATTATTATGGAATATTGCAAGAATGAAACAAAGAACCCCATTTCTTTCGAAACGTAAAACGTTTCATTATTTTCTGAAAAATTATGTTAAATAGTTTGTTTGGAGTATAGTGAAATTCATAACATAAATTCGATATTTTATATGTTTATGTGACACCAAGTAGTGAAGAGAAATTTNATAATTATGATTTATTGTTTTCAACAAATAAACAAAAGTAATAAACGAAATTAGTTGCATGGGTCTGCGTATGTATGTTTTCCCACGAAATGTAACCAAACGATCAGCTTAAGCCATTGAGGATTTTAAAGTTGCGCATGGTTATTTAGTTACTCAGTTATTCAGTTACACAGGGTGAGTCAACAAGATTCCCTCGAAGTCATATTTTTTTAAATGGAACACCCAGTACATGAATACGGCATTCGATTCTACATTTTTTAGCTCTAAGGAATTTTTGTTTTTGAATTTCCATTGCGACATTGCCAAGTTATTCCAGAAAAACCTATTTTGCAGACAATATTTTTTTAATTCTCCACCCGCATGTCTACAGCAATTATGTGGATTTTTTAAGAATAGTTAGTCGACATCACTATGGTAATTTCGGCAATCTCAACTTTCGGAAACAATCTATAGGGGCTCGGCAAAACCAGTCAAGTTTCATTCATTTTCAAACAGACATAATTCAACTTTTTCAAATAGAACACCCTGTATTTTTTCATTTGTATGAAATGTTTCAACATTTCACTACATTTTTCATCGGAAGTGTACCATATAAATTATTTCAATATATTTTACAAATTATACCCAGTTTTATTAATTGTCCTTTTCTTTGATTGACGACTTGTTTATTTCGTGGAAATTCATGTTCACTGAGGATACACTACAAAAACACAGTTTTGTCTATTTTCCACGATATTTCTTTATTGTTGACTAGTTTCGGCTATTACACCATTTTCAAAACTAACTGATTACATTTCAATCTGAGTAATTTATACCTAAGTTGCTTATCCTACCATAAATAATTTGGTACCTAAATTTTGTATACCTGTAATATCCATGATCATAACAAAACAAAGCTTTTGATATAATGTAGGTTTTGGGAACTGGATTATAGGTTCAAGACAGAGATCAAGTTGTTCGTTGAGGACAATAGAATTGGGATTTTTCTTTGACCTGTTTATTTCCATAGATTCCAACAGATTCGTCATTTTCCTTTTTTCGCATGTGTGAAGGATCTTCAAATTATCTTTATTTATTTTATGTTTCGAATTTTGAAGACGTTTGTACATTAATGATTTTTTATCCGAAATGACATGTTCGTGGTACCTTGTATCAAAATTTCTCCCAGTTTGGCCTGTATATATGGCGGGGCATTCACCACATTCTATTCGATATATACCAGATCTCTTCCCTTTCTCTAATTTAGGTTTGGCATTAAATAATATGTTTCCTAAATTTCCGTTGGATGTGTAGGATGTTTGTGAATTGAATTTTGAGAGATAATTTTTAATATTCTCGGAGATTCTACCAGCATAATTGATACTAACATATTTGTGTTCTGGTCTTGTGGAAATTGAGTATAGTTCTTTCATTATTGATTTTTGTTGATATTTCATTATTATGTTGTTAACTAGAGTGGTAGGTATTTTGTTATTAACTGCTATTTGTTTAATGATTGC